TTTACCTTAAGCATTATAACAAACTTATACCTAAAGAAACTAAGAAAGCTAGCACTTTAATTCCAAAATATAAATGCAACTAATTCTTCGGGTTGCAGCCATAAATACATCATTTGAAGCTTCAAAGAAGACAACCAAAACACTGGGAAAACCAAGTATCGTGCTGAAAAACAAGAACATACACATATCAAACTTTACAACATTGGTTGGTTCTATTCTTAAACTGTTTGGAATTACAAACTCAACTCCACAGCTCTCTTAGTAGACCTCACCCTCTTAAACTTTGACCTACAAAAGCTTTTATTCCCACGAAACAATTGAACATTACACATTACAACCACCACGACTAGAGCCCATTTGCAGCCTGATACATCATGTTATATCCATCCAAACCAAATGCAGAGTACTCCGGAAGAGGATAAACAACCCCGTTTGCATCCATCGGCCACTGGCTCTGAATCAATGCATCGGGTTGCAATTCATTCAACCCGTGGTACGGCATGAAGGAATCATAGACCATTTGAGGCATCTCTTCATAGTAGTATTCAGGTACATCAAACTGAGGGAAAGCATAATGTTGGTTCACTGAATTGAAATCGTCGTGGTGGTTGTAACGGTTATATGCTGGCCTTACAGCTGTCCGATGATCCTCATCGAGCAAGTCATTAATGATGTCAAGATGTGGGAAATCGTCCGGCATCACTCCGTTGACCTGGGTTATGTTACCTTTCACATGAGAACGAGATTCATCAGTCCATGAGTTCGGTCGGGACCCAAAAGTGATACCCGAGTTCACTGATGATAATGATGAAGATGTAGAGGGCTGGGGAAATGCGGCATCATATTGTGTAGAGAAAATTAAAGAGGGTCGATGAGTGAACCCTGATGTAGTTGCACCAGTTGAAGTTTTGATGCCCATTATGGCATTTCGATAAGATTGCGGTTCAAGACTGTGAGCAAAAAGAGATGAGTCCGAGTCTAAACGACCAACCGAGCTGAGTGTGCGTGATAATGCAAGCGTTGCGTTTGACGTGGAGACAAGGGGAGCGGTTGTGTTTGGTCCTGGAATGATAGGGGCACTTGAAGGCCTCGATATTGAAGAAGCTTTGTTGGCAGTGCTGCTTATTGATTGAGAAGTGTGCAAGGTATGTTTCGAAGGTTCAGATTTCGAAATGGACATGTTTTCTGGTGATTTGAATGATTTCTCAGATTGAATTTGGGTATTTGAAGTGGACTTAGGTGAGGAAACTGGTTCATTTTTGGTGGTAGTAGTGGTAGCAGCGTGTATCTCTGTAGATTGCTTAACCGATGACGCCTTTCTAGCAGGGTGAGGTGATGATGCTGGTTCTGATGTCCTTGAGTTAAAGGTGGAGGAAATATTCTCAACAATTTCATCTTTGACAATTGTTTTAGTACACAGTCTCTTGTCTATTTCTTCCTTGATATTGGGAAAAAAATCACATCATTAGGACATTTAAAGGGAGTAACCAGAAAATTAATGTAAAAACTTAGCTGCAATTCCGACGAGAAGGTAGAAAAAAACTAGTTACCCGTAAACGTATATGAAAAATCAAACAATAACAATGATGATGCAATGGAAGAAAAATACTCAAACGTATATGAACAATCAAACAATAACAATGATGATGCAATGGAAGAAAAATACTCAGATGAAATACAATCAGTGTGGCATGTTTTCAAAACTCATGAAATTTGAAAAGTAAACTGATATTCTTATATGAAGAATAAAATATTAACTATATACATATATGAAAAAAATTACACAATAACAATGCTAAAATGGAAGAGAGAGAAATCTAAGATGAAACATAATAGGGCGGGCGCATAATAGGGCGGGCATGTTTTCAAAACTTGTAAAGAAAATCCGAAAAGTAGACTGATACACGCTATTACATACAAAAACCTCATGCTGACAGACAAAGCTGGCAGTGCAATTTTCAATACAAATCCTTACCTTAAGAAATATGTCCTCATGCATCCGAGGACATAAAAATGCAGAAACAGGAAAATAAGAAAACTCTTTACAAAAGAAAATCTAACCCGTTTTATGTGCAATGAAGGATCAGATAAAAGAAAGACTAGAAGATGAAGCTTCAAGAGAGCATCATAAAATGATACCCTACAGAAAATCCACATTGTACAAGTTGTCCTTTAAGTTCCAAAAAGAATTACGTCAAATGCTAATCAATGTGAGGTGAAATTGATTGAACTTTCCTATTCTCTATTTTCTAGATTCATTAAAGCAAGTCATTGTGGGATCATCTATCGCATAATAACTAATAACTCCAACTAGAGAGGCAAGTATCAAACAAGTTGTGCTTTGAAGTCATTTATACACTAATTCAGGACAATTAAGTCATGTTGAATTCATAAAAGGTTTTGTTTCCGTGTATGTTATTCAAGAGTAATTATCAATCTCAAACTAATATTGCAGCTTATGCACACAGTCCCATCTTTAAACTAACACGCAAAAAATGTTAGAGGTACCTTCTTAAGAGGTTGTTGGAGTTTATGTCTCTGATCCTTCAAGGATTGAAGATTACCCTCTGGTTCAGCCCCAGTAGCACTACAACTTCTACTCACATAAAGTAGTTGCTCGGCACTAACCATGGAACTATTTTGCATGTCCTTATTCTGTGGATATTTCCCTCTGCAATGATCACAATGCGATAAGAAACAAACCGCTTCCCTCAGGGAAGGAGAAAAGAAAAGGATCCTTGATTTCAAAAATATATATATACCTGTTAGAAGAACTTCGTTTACTTTTGTTACTGGTTGATGAGTACCCCTTGTATGGTCCATTCACCACAACCGATGGGACTGAGTCAGTTGAACATGTGGAAGAACTGTCATCCACAAAGGACGAGCTCTTTTTTTCGACATGGCCATTTGAGATATCACTCCTACAAGCTTCGGATGCTGGATGAGTTTCTGATGTATCTGTATCCCAACTCAGGGGGCTCATATCTCTGTCTTCTACATCAGCCAGAAGTGATTCAGGACAATCATCTCCAGGCTCAGAAACATCAGAAACTTCTCCCCTCAGCTCACTCTTCTTGCTCAACTGTTCCCCATGCTCTGAAGAGAAGTCCACCAGAATTCTTTCCTCAGAGAGACTATCATGTAGTTCTTGATGCTTTTCCTCCTCCATTTCTACAGACTTGTCACCTTTACCTCTGTCCTTACCTTTGCGATTGTTTCGCCTCTGTCTAGCCTGGTGGAAAGAAAAGGATGGATGCAAAAGGAATGACACTCAGACATAAAATAAAATAGAACTAGTAAATAAAGAAAAACATGTCAACATGCCAAAGTGCAGTACATTAAAGGGAAAGTATAGAAAAAGATAAAGAAAACAGAATTAAAACATGAAACACAACCTTCAATTACAAATGGACAAGAACAAAGGCAACATGATCAGTATATATCTCACAGAAATGGTACTAAAGGACGAATACTGGCAAAATGGAACAAGGTCTCATTAAGCTTATGAGAACATAGAATACTTTCATGGAAATCAAAATCAACATACTAGAAAGCAACCAGAGAATACGCAGTTTTGGACTTCATAAATTAGAAGCAGCCAGATAATACGCAGTTTTGGACTTCATAAATTAGAAGCAGCCAGATAATACGCAGATGTGGGCTTCATAAATTGGAAACGGACAGTTGTAATTTTCTTAAACAGAAAGGGTGCAATCAATTGCATATAAGAACTCTACTAAGTCAATGATTCAAACATGCACCAGTCTCAACTTTCTCATAACCAAAAAAAAAAAAAAGAAAAGAAAACAAAGCAAACTTTCTCATACATAGAACACTGAGTTCGTGGAAATCAAAATCAACATACTAGGGACCAACCAGATAATACACAGGTCTGGACTTCATAAATGGGAAGCCGCCAGACAATACGCAGGTTTGGACTTCATAAATTAGAAGTAGCCAATCGTAATTTTCTTAAACAAAAAGGGATGCAACCAATTGCATTTAACTAAGAACTCAATTAAAATCAACGGTTCAGACATGCACCATTCTCAACTTTCTCATAACAGGAGGGGGAAAACAAAGCAAACTTTCTAATGCATCATCGACATCTTTGGAAAAGGTAGTTCCATTCCTTCATTTAGGATTTATTCAGGCCAAAGAGAACAAAGGGCTTCAAATGGAACAATCTCTTCCAAGGGATCAGGCACACAGGGATGAGTCATGTGGTGTGGCTGCTTCTAACATGAAGCCATACCCATACCTGCACCAACTCTTCGAGACTTCGACAGTCCTCGAATATATGTGTACATTAATTCATATGTGTGCTCAATTATATATTACATGTTTGAATTTAAAACGCTCATGAAACACCTATTTGGATGTATAACTTCACATCCAATTCCTGAAACGCATCGCACATGGGTTCGTTTCAGCTTATACCAATTCAGAACTAAGATCCTAAAATGTGGTTTCAGTGTTTAGTTTTAAAACGCCTGGTTTTCCAATTTATAATTTCATAATAAAAGAAAACATGAAGATAGAAATGCTGGAAGGGTTTTAATTCTCACATGTGAATGACAAAAACAATATTGGTCTCATGAAAATTATTACTTTCAACATATAAAGTCATGTTCTCATACCATATCTTTTACAAATATGTAGTTTGAATTTAAAATGCTCGTCACACGCTTCTTTGGATGTATAATTTCACATCCAATTCCTCAAACGCATTGCACATGGGTTCGTTTCAGCTCATACCCAATTCCAAATTAAGATCCTAAAATGTGGTTTCAGTATTTAGTTTAAAAATGCATGGTTTTCCAATTTATAACTTACATAATAAACAAAAACATGAAACATAGAAACGTTGGAAGGGATTTAATTCTCATAACATGTGTATGACAAAAAGAATATTGGTCTCATGAAAATTATTAATTTCAATATTGTATAGTCGTGTTCCCATACTATCTTTTACAAATACGCAGTGCCCATACCCAAACCTGCACCAGTAACCCGTACTCTTTTTCATGCAACTAAAGGGATATGTTACAGGCATGGAAGGGACATAGCAGTATGATACCGATACAGAAAGCGTGAAAACAAGGCCACAATATTTGATGGATACACTTCTAAATAGTATATTTTGAACATTTGACATTATTTTTACCTAATGCTTTTTCGACTAGCTTATTATAAAAAAAATGAATTTATCAAAAGTAGAAATAAAATCTTGACATGCACTTTATGTGATATATTTCATGTTCTGAAAACTAAACATCAAAATGAAAAATTGACCAGCTATCCTCCACTAATTCATATTCCATTGCCCATGTGAACTAGAAGTATGAAGGAGGAAAAAAAAACACCATGAAAATCTGTATACGAACTTCACTTGAGAAAATGACCTTAAAGGCCACAGCCCATAAAACAATTATAACAAAAACATAATGGAGGAGCTTGACATAGAACTTGCATTTGTTCTTGCAAAAATAAAAACCAACAATCTCTATATCAGAGCATAAAAGCAGGGTATAAGCAGGGTATAAGCATAATGAAATCGCTGCACGTAACTGATCTTCAAGTTTCTCGAAAGCAGACCTCATTTACCAAAATGCTGGCATGCGTACAACTAGCAAAATTTCTCTACAAATCAAGTAATCCAGTTAAACAACAGGCAGCATTAACATATTGATATCATGTAATGCTCAATAATACCAAGTACAAGACTTATAGAACAATGCAGGCCAGTATAGAATATAAATGTTCCCACAGATGAACAAGAAGTAAGTTGAAGAAACTTAGTTGACCTGTTTTTTCTTTGCTCTCTTTTCCCTCTTCTCATTTTCAGCTTTCTCTGCTTTCTCCTCCTCAAGAATAAGCTCCTCCTGTCTCCTTAATGCAACAGCTTCTTGATATGCTATTTCAATTCTATTGCTGCAACAAACAAGTTAGAGAAAACTATTGAAACATGAGGAAAATAAAGTCCATGCAAGCTAAAGTTGTCAGAAAAGAACAAATATAGATTGAGAATTACCAGGAATTTTGGGTCCTTTTTAAAGTTACTATTTATTATTACTTCAAGTAAATATCTCAGTTTTTGAGCATTTTCATATAACTACCATGTGAACGTTCACAACAATGCAAGGTTTTAAATATCGGATGTCGGGTTCATGTCGGACGGCTGAAATCCATGTCGGATAGCGGAAATCGGGGATATATCGGGGGATATGGACTAAATATCGGATTGCCATATCGGGTGGGCGCATATGTACAATATCATGTCCTAAATGTAATCTAAGCATTCTTAAATTCAATATAAGCATACTTTATAAACTTTATAGACTAGACATATAAAAAAGTAAACAATATATGAGAAATGTAAAGAGCTAAAATGTAAACAATATTAGAGCTAAAAAAGTAAACAATATACGAGAAATCAGGGATTATTAAATGATAAACAAGGATTATTACAAGGATTACTAAAAATTAAGACATTGAATCTTTCATATTAATTAAACAAGATTAGAGCTAAAATGTAAAGAGCTAAAATGTAAAGATATAAAAAAATATTTATGCAAGCATTCCCATCATATTAATTAAACAAGGATTATTACCGGAGTTGAATCTTTCATATTCCGAGGATTACTAAAAAATCAAGTTAGAGCTAATTTTACTTTTAATCCAAAAGAATTATTTAATTACTTTTTGTCCACAATTTGCTCCAAGATACAAAAAGAAACTTATGATGATAATTTAGGAAAAGAAAGAAGAGTAAAAAGAAAAAAGGGAAAGTTAAAAACCACGATATATCGCTGAACCGATTTTCATAAATTTTGGCCGATTTTTCAAATAGGAAATAGCGGCCGATATATCCGATTTTTCGCCGACATGACCGATATATCGCCCAAAAACGATATGCGACTTGTATTTCCCCGATTTGTGTCGCTCGACACCTTGATCCGCTATATCGGCCGACATGTCCGACATGTCGGCCGATATTTAAAACACTGCAACAATGTGAGATTGCTGCTCTGATCTCACATCCAAACTAACTAATTTAATTAAGAAATATTAAAATATCTTCTTTAAAATAAAGAGCAAAACCTGCAATTTGAAAGAAACAACAATAACGGGCCTTTTGCAAAGTATTCATCAACTTACTCAAGCCCTTCCTCCTCATTCAAATTATGTTTTCAACAAAACGCATGCCTAAGAAAATAAATAAATAAATAAATAAAATAAAATCTAATGCCAAGAAAAAAGAAGAAGAGAAATTTGTATCCCCTAACTACTTTAATTCCCAAATTTATAAGTCCTGTTCTCCTTTTTGTCCTCTTCCCTTCTCTCATCAGTTGTTCAAACCCAAACTAGCAAAAACAAAAGTTTATTTTCAATGCACAACTTGGATGCAAAATATGTATATACGAACCATTATATAGATTTACTATAACCTTGGAATCAAACCATGTTTATGTTTCTTCTCTCCGACTACAACTTCGAAGTAAGAAAAATAGAAATGTTTGTCGTTTTGGATTAATGATTGAGGAGAACAGGTATTCACTTGGAATGAAGAGGGCAAAAAGAAAAATTATAGCAGAGGATGGGGACTTATGAGGGTGGGTCTGTGTTGTGTAGATGTCTAGATGATTCGGCTAGTGTAGATGATTCGGCTAGGGTTTATAAAATTGAAGGGAAGAAGAAGAAAAGATTAAACAAATTAATCTCTAAACTATTTTATCAATGTCAAATTAATTATTATTTTTTAAACAATCAAACATTCAAAAATTTAAGGACTAGCAAAGTTTCCCTCACATAATAGCTTAATAGAAAAAAGGGGTTTTTGCTTTTAGACCCATTTGTTTACTCCCATTTATCTTTAAACCCAAGTATTATTATTTCTATCTTTAAGCCCAATTCACCTCTTGTATTTATTTTTAAACCCAATCTCCAAAATATAAAAACAAGCGGTGAAAATACAGTATTTTGAAGATTGGGTTTAAAGATAAATACAAAAGTTGAATTGGGCTTAAAGATACAAATAATAGTACTTGGGTTTAAAGATAAATGGGAGTAAACAAATGGGTCTAAAAGCAAAAACCCCTAGAAAAAAATATATGTCGGTAAGAGAGAACTTTTTCTAATAATTGTATAGTTCTTAGATAATTAACCACAGATGGGTCTATTTACAAATATATAAATAATAAATAAGTTAATAGCCACTTAGCCAGTTCTTAAGTTCAATTTATGAATTTAAAAGAAACATATTTCATTACTAATAGTGTCTCATACAATAAAAACGTCATGGACTGGTTAAATAACAAACAAATATTAGTTTTCCAATTGTATCTAACATATTGATATGGTTCTCCATGTTTTATATGTAAATAATTTACTATATTTTCTTTAAAATATTTTTCAGCTTCAAACCAAGTTTATAGGTAAGATAAGGGCATTTTTCTCATCAAAAGCCACATGCTAAGCACATGATGTAGTAGTGATGAAGAGGTGAGGGGAAAAATCCTACTAATTCAGTTGTAATGTAAACAGAAAACAGCTCATGTTAGTTTGTTGAAAATGGATAAAGTTCATGCTAATGTCTTCAAATCTACGCTTCTAAAATTATTCTTATGAAAACTCCCTTCTATTTTTCAGACCAAAATTCTCAAATGCAGAACAAGAAATAATCACGAAATGTAAATAAAAACAATGAAGAATTATGCACCTTCAAACACACAGCCTCTTAAGAATTTAATGGCAGATGAAAACTAGTGATTTGATCACATTGATCATCGTCAAAAGATAAAGCATATTTTTTACTGCAAGGCTGAACAAACATGGAACTCTCTAGAAAGTTAATGACCATTTCAAACTGATAGGATCAGGCTACCCGAATGCGATATACAAAAAAATACAAGCTGAAAATTGACAATATTTGGCGGCCAGTACCCACAGAATACAGTAATTTTGGTCGTTAACAATAATATTACCTTAAGGGTTAAGTTCAAATAACCACCCAGAACTTTGGTGGCTTTTGCATATAAGCCCCTTGAACTTTTTTATCTCACAAAACACCCCTAATCTTTGGAGTGTCCCACAAAACGCCCCCAAACTTTGAACTTTTCTCAGTGGACCCTTTCATGTAATTTGCAAATAACTAAAATTTCCTCCAGAACATTTTAGTTATTTTTCACTCAAGAACATTTTAGTTATTGGGTCTGGTGAGAAAATGTTAAAGTTGAAGGGGTTTTGTGAGACACCCCCAAAGTTTGGGGGAGCTATGTGAGATCTAGGTTGCATGGACACGAATATGGGACACGGCAAATTTGTAAAAGGCAGGACACACACATATTTGCGTGTGCCATATTTACATTAGACCAAATATTGAAATTAAAATATCTATAAATTTTTTATTTTCTTCTACCACCTAAACAATTAAGAATCAAATTAAATCAAACTAAGAATTAAGATTTAATGACAAGTTTAGTTTTGATCATATGGGATATTAAGAGTACTTTTTAAATCTTTAGTAATTGGTTTCGGTATTTGGGTTCAAAAATCTATTTGTTTTAAGCTCGATACCAAAGGAATTAGTTTAGGGTTACAAGTGATGGAGAAATCAGGTTTTGCTCTAAACCACACATGCACATGGCATTTCCGTAGGGTGTCCACAGTTAATTTGGTCTGACATGTGTTTGACACGTATACGTCACCCAAAACGAAGTGTTCAGGCAACCTAGTGTGAGAGAAGCAAAGTTCAAGGGGTTATGCAAAATTATTCCTTATTTTAATGAAAAGCAGTACCCACTCAGGCTTGGCTTTATTGTTAGGGATTAGATCGGGTTATACAAGGTCCCATGTTCAAGACTAGGCTAGCACCTTCATTGAAAAAAGAATAGAAAGCAATAAGCAGAAGAGCATGAAACCTAAAGAACTACCAATAATTATACTTTAGAGAGAATGAACAAGAAAAGGTATTCTGCTTAAATTTACACATCTAGAGAATTATCCCACTCGTATTGCAGTTTGCATTCTTCCAAGCAAAGATTGGTGACGAAAGAAACATCCATCAAACTTGAAGACATTATTCCCAAAATAGAGGACTTACAGATGTATCAGTTGACACAACCAATCAAAAATAGCGGCAATCAATAAGGATGTTACACATCTTCAACAGCTATGTTATCAGAAGCTATATAGATTACCTGAATATATGGGCTAAAACAAATATTTCCAGAGTCCTGCGACCTAGCTCTGTAAGACGTCTTTCATCACGGAGAATAGAATCTTTATTAAATTCATCTCCAGAACAACCGTCCTACAACATGTGATTGTTGAAACATCACCTGTTAGAAACCAAGTCTAGAAGATAGCTTGAAATCATGATTACTAAGAATTTAAAGAAAAAACACAGAAGATGATAAAGATAACCTATTTTTAATAAAAAGGAAGGACACAGTAAGAAGAAAAAGATGAATGTGTGAGAGCTAGAGAACCCAAGGCTGATGCTTTGGCCAAGTCCAATTGGTTATTATAGGTTCAAAATGCTCCAAGTCCAACCCAATATGTAAAATACTGATAACTTTTTAAAACCTTGACCTATATTAGTGGCAATCTATTCACTCCAGTCTTTTACTGCCAACTTTATCAGTTGAAAATGTGTTCTAACCCAGCAGCACATTGTCCATCTCTTTCCTAAGACGAGAACAATTTGTCAAACAATTTCTTTGACAAGTCCAAACTAATATGTAAAATACTAATTTTTTTAACCTTAAATTAGATTACTGTCAATTTCTTAACTTTAAACTTTAACTGCCAACATTATCAGTTGAAAATGTGTTTTAACCCAGCAGCTCATCCAACTCTTTTCCTAATCAAGAAGAATTTGTTAAAAAAAATTGCTGACAAGGAAACTCTGTATTTACCCACCAAGCAGCCTAACGACATTTAAAGAGAGTTCTTCCTAGCTATTATTTCCTAGTGGTTAAGAATTCAGTAATTGCCTTTACAAATTGTTTCACTCTCAGAAAAGACAATCAGTCAAAAGAACCCATTCCACTTTGGAGCTTTTTCAATGTGAACTGTAACAAAAAAAAAATTACTCCATACCCCACTTATATTGATATAAGTAGATTTGAAAATGCAGTTGCATTGATGCTGTCTGTTTTCAGACTTTTAATCCTCTAAAGAGCAGAAGTTTCTAATGAAATAAATATTACTATCAGCCCTAAGCTCGATCCTATGATCTATTGCGTTGCCTCATCTGTACATAAGCACATGGGGGCAATAAAATCTGTGGTTAGTGCAGCTGTGTCAAATGTGATAATGTTAGTGCCTAAAAGAAACTAGGTCCAGAGAAATTATTTTGCATTATGCACCCCCGGTTGATTAACAGTATGATCATGCCTTTGATATTGCACCACTAAAATGCAAATCTAATTGAAGAAATACCAGGAACGAGAATTTCTTCAGCAGTTACTTAACAAGTACTTCTTTCAGAAAACAAAGAGGCTATTAGATTCTTACTATGGACTAAGTATTTTATTTTAACTCTCTCCTGCCACCTCCTAGCTTTGACCTCATTAAGAAGACAAGTTCTGTTACGTGCCTCTACAAAACCATTAAGCATTCACTATTGCTATGAATCCCTTATCCATACAAGTAAACCAAATAGCGTCTTGTCAATTAAAAGCAAGAATAGCGAATATAATTTCCAAAATAAATTTCTGAAACCTATTTGCACTACAAAGATGCAAATCTTGATTAAAAAAAAATACCAGTAACCAGTATTTCTTCACCAGTTATTACTATTAACTTGATATTTTACTTAAACTTTCTTCCCTACCTCACCTCCTACTTCGACCTTATTAAGAAGACAATCTCCGTAATGTGCCTCAACCAAATTGTAATAATTATTCCATGTTTGCTATGAATCCTTTATCCAATAATAACATCTTAGTTACTTAAAATCAAGAATAAAGATGCATGTTGAGGATATGCTGAAATATAGCAGGAAACAGAAGGTCAAATGTCAGGGGTTTGTAGTCATGAGAAGTTATTTCTCTACTGACTTCATTGTTGATTCTGGTATGCTAGCATACGTACACGTGCAAAATCATAATAGCAAACTGAATAATCCATAAGTATTATACCGATGCAAATAACATAGTTTGATATTTAGAATTAGGGAACAAGAGAAACATGGATAAAATACCATATGATTTTGGGCTTTTCCCCCTCAGAAGCCACTTTTAGATTGGGTTACTGTAAACCACCTTTGAATGTCAATTAATACAAAAACCACCTTTAAAGGGGGTTAAGTGTTGCAATCAACCACTTCCCACCAAAGATTTTCACTGAAAACGCAAAAACTCCCCTAAAAGCTCACATTCAAGGCACGTGACTCATTCAGATTCAGTTAATGCTTAGATTTGGTTAGGATACAAGTCATGTGCCTTGATCGTGATTTTTCACTGCCATTTTTGGTTTTTCAGTAAAATTTTGACTGGGAGGTAGTTGACTGCATCAAAAAACTACTTCAAACATCAAACATGGTTTATCGAATTATGAGTAAAACCTCAAGGAGATATTTTTTGAACTTTAATCAATCCCACATTTGTATTTACTTAAACCGTATAGTAACAAGAACTTAATGATAGGGATCTAGGATTCAGTAAGTCCCCAAAAGATCAAAAGCACATGGAAAATTTTTCTATCGAAAAACACCTTTCACAATGAATGCCGAAGATACCCTTTGTATGAAGATAGAATAGGAAAAATGAGTAACTATATATTACTCAAGTAAAACATGATATGCCAAAGGACATTACAAAGGCCCAAAGTTATCACCAAAATGTATCATTAATAATGATCAAAACTTCAGATATATTATGTTATAAAATAAGAGAAAAAAGTGCATGAAATATTAGCGGCAGATTAAATGTACCAAAACATACTTTTGAGCGAATCGGCAAACCCTTTTCCTCCTTCGAGGGCAATGACAGATGGGGCGATTCTAGTGCAGCTCTCTCAAGCAATAAGAACACATCTTCTGCCAAAACAAACATGTCCTTTTCAACAAGGACAATGGGAGCTGGTAAATCCTCCTTTTCCAGTTTGTTGGCTCTCACTTCTTTTATCTTGCTCTGGCTTTTAAGAGCTTTCAGACCAATGTAAAGAGAATCCATTACCAGTGTAGATGCAACCTCTTTCTCTATGAAGAAATGTTTCACGACTACCTTCAAGATAGCATCTGTTTTATCCCTAGACATGTGCCACCTGGTATTCTGATCAATTCCAAGCCAGAATGCATGAAAACTGCAATCAACTACACAAGGATTAGGCATAAACAAGCATATGAAACGAATAGATGAGGCCAGACAAGGTAATGTATCTTAAAAATCAAATGGGACACATGCTGTCTGCAACAGCAATAACTGAATAAAAACTTAAAAGCAGGCTTCCAAGTTTCAGCATATAGATTACCTTGACCACTTTGTTTTATCACCAATCAAGGTTTTAAGCTTCTGCCTCCTGTCATCCACAAACCTTGCACAAGTTTGTTCTACAGCGGACAGATATACTCGAATTAGCTCTCTCCGGTACTGAGAATCAAGGCAACGGAACGGGCGGTGTGCTTTCTCCCTTGAAGATTGCAACAAGAAAAAGAAACATTATGTGAGTTGAAATTGAAGTACAATAATGCTTTTTAGGGACAGAAAAAGTAGTGAGTAATATTATATAAGTTGAACTGGTCATCCTAAAATACGTCTCAGATTAGAACTAAAAAAGATTAATACAGAAATGTTTTCAGATGACATTGAGATATGACAATGTCCAGATCAAAAGCTTAAACCATTACGAATTACGAATCTAAATAACAGAAAAGTGTGATGGTAATACAGAGAAGCCAGAAGACAGTTGCATGATTAGAGAGAGAAGCTATACAACCCATAGTTACACAGTACGCGGTATGAGGGTCATGGTATGAATTCGGATAAGTAATTGGCCACTTAGAAAATTTAGATTCAATGCGAGGTAGCTTGCTTCAGTACGCAAGTTCAATTAGTAGTGTATTGTAAATTTTTTTGGATGCGCTTAAAGTTTTCCTAAGTATATAGTAGAAAAGTAGGAATTAGAAAGCTAATTATCCATTTCAATATTTTCTCATACAAAATACTTCTATACTTCTTTTTTATGGAGTTCGTTTCTTTGTTCTGTGTTCCCCCCACATAGTTCGTATTGAGATCATGGTTTCATTTCACATTTTATTAACATAAGTATTTAGTTACAAGTAAAGTCATTTGCTCGTATATTCTATTGTGCGTCTCCCTTCACTTGATTGCACACATTGCATTGCGTCTTGCGCATGTACACTTAAAAGGGATATTGCACTCAGCATACTTGTAAGTGGTGCGCCAATTATGGGGAACCAATTCGTATAATTGAGGGAATCGGTTTGCAAATGTACTGGGAATTGGTTCGTAGGAACTGTATAACAGTTCGAGGGGGGCTCCAGGAATCATGCAATAATGATAAAAAAACATAAGATCATATAAAAAGTTAGTTTAAAAGAATGCTGACGGCGTATGAAAATTGGTCAGCTTATTTATACATGATACGACATCTGCTGTTAATTATCATCAGTTTTGAGATGACATCAGAAGACTATTGACAATGTCTAGATCAAAAGTTCAAACCATTAGTACAATAAATAACAGAGAGGTGCCACAAAAATAAAAAGCAGCCTGCAGACAGTTGCATGAGTAGGAAAGCTATACAAACATAAGATAATATAAAAAGTTAGCTTAAGAGAACGCTGACTGTGTATGAAAATTGGTCAGCTTATTTATAAATGATACAAGACATCACCCACTATTAATTATCGAATCCATATTAATTTTTTCATAAAAGTTCAGTTAACCATTGTACAACCAAGCTCAAGCTGGTAGAATAAATAGGAGACTGAACACGTACAACTTTCTGTAAAAAAATGCCAACTTTTCCTTCGTTCTTAAAGGAGGGATTCTCGCAGAAAATGATTTGATTAATAATATCCAAAAGCATGTCATGAACTTAAAGAAATCTTATCGAAAACAAGATATGCATAACCTACACTATATAAACAAATTTAGTTATTAAAACCAAACTGATTAATCAGTTATCTAAAATGCATCTCATTTTAGTTGCTACAACCAGTTAGTTATCCCAAAGAAGCATACAACAATTGATTTGTTCCTATCACTTCATTCTCCTTTTTGCCTCGAAAATCATTCTGAATGAGAAGAAAATTGTAAATTTTTTTCACAAATTGTTGACACAACTCTCTATCCCTAGAAGTTGTACTAGTGAGCTACATGTGCTACTCATTAGATATTGCCTCAATATCCAGAAATTGGCCATAATGTTAATTACCTCTATTGATCATTCGATACTCTCCTAATAAGTGGCTTCTAAAACCAGAATGCATGGAAGCCGTTAAGCAATCAGAGAATTAGAAGGGGTGTGTATTTGCAATCAGCCATTTTTTAAAAATAAAGATTCTTCTGGCCGAAGTCTTGCTAATTTCAGCATCCACAGACACTTCATCGAGTATTTGGCGATCTGCTAATTATTCATAATATACTGTAAAGTATCTCTAGCATTTGACCCATGTTTTTAAATTTATATCCAACAGCAAATGGTCAAGTACCACAGAAAACTAAGAAAATCTGGGCGACATGTAATATCTACACCAATAGGCACTTTCCAAGCTTTACTTATTAATTCATTCATAGCTTCACCAGGCACTTTAACCAGTAATAAGTTTATGCTTAAAACTACTCTGTCGCTCAAGTTCTCTGCTCAAAATTTTGAGAATACAAAAACCAGAAACCATAGGTCGTGAGGTTTAAAGGATATGAAGTATAGAAATCTCTACGATATTTTCAGCCATAAGCTGTCCAAAAAGTTATTCTTACAAAACCGAAGATCACAAAGGCTTGGTGCCATTAAATGATACAAAGAGGAGACAAACAACCTTCTCAGGGGAGTTACAATTGTCTCAGATAAAAGAATACATGCCCAGAAACAAATGATAGACCGCATCCGGGCAGATACAGTATATACTTACATTATGAAATGTTTAGTGTCATGTTAATATAACTACAGAGTTTCGTGGTCCGAACCCTCCCCGGCCCCGCACATAGTGGGAACTACGTGCACCAGGTTGCCTTTTTTAATAACTTGACCTAATCATATATTTTCTATCTTTAAAATTCGACTATGTGAAATAATAAGTCAATCTTATGTTGTCTAGTCTTAGATTAAAATCACAAAAGTAAACCGCCCAGTAAAGGATAAATTTACTTCAGATTTCAGGAGTCAGGTTGGGATCGATTGAGAAATTTTTCATGTTCAGAGATAAAAGTTGGGTTTACTTGGGCATAGAACCGGATCTGATCCCACATCATTACAGCGTAATTGCCAAATACTCAAGTCTCAAAAAGTTCCTTTCAAAATGAAAAAAAACAATAAAGAAGACGATGATGAAGAGAAAAGTAGGAAAAAGAAGTTCAGAAATAGAAACTACACCTATCAAAAGCTCCACAGCGAAATGTTCATTACTTGATATATGATAAACTTGTGATTATTAAGTGAGAGTTCCAAAACAGTTGGACTAGTTGGTGTGGAACTCCTGACAGTTTGGATTAGGTAAATCTATTGCATAAACAGAACGGAGTTTATTATAAATCTCAGAATTCCATTTAATGGAGTGGCTAAAATATCTGCTAGGTGAGTCTACATTATATAAGACAGCTGGATAATCATAATAGGAATAAGTTCATTCATACATTAAAAGAGCAGCACATATAATACTACATTGCTATATTACTTACAAAATAATAAAAATATAAAGTGAAATAATGTGTACAGCACTATGCTAAATTTAGATGAAGGATAATGATAAGTGGATAAGCAACAGTAATTTATGAACTACCTGATAACTTGAACTTCAGCCTTAATTGTAAGAGTATCATCATCAACAAAGCCATCCGATATCTTATTTATCTCCATAAATTTTTTCCAACCCCAATCATGTTCTTTCTTCCAGAACCGATGTAATGTATCTGCAGATCTCCCATAAAAACATCAGTCTGTATCACTGCTAAACTGAAGAATATCTCATTTAATGTCAACAATCAGCTCACCATTGTACTTATTTCTTTTTTGATCCTTGTTTATTACAGCTATAGTGAACAGCGCAAAGTGACTCCAACCTACAAATGGGAAAATGGGAGAGAAATGTAGCTACTATGTAGTTAGAAAATAATCAGGCTAGATATTATAAAGCCATAAACCAGCTGCAAACCTGGAAGAAGTTTGTCATGATTAGCAACACAAAGAAACAATGAGAGATGGTTACAGGCATCACAACCCTGGGGATAAATTAAGATATACCTGGAAAACAATGTCAACAATCTTGTTACAACTATGATACAGTGCATTATTATGAATGCAAGCATAATAGTCCCAAGCACAGAAAGCATTATCAACCATGGAAGATCATAATAGAAGATCCAAAACAATACACAATCAGCAGAGAAAGATTTCCGTAACAGGTAACTGATTGTGAGTTTACTAACACCACAAGTAGAATACATTTCAGAAGTAGACTAAACAACAGATAAGACCAGGCATCCTTTGCCTTAAATTTAGCAACAAAAAAAAGTTAACAAACTGTAAGGACCAACAGAGGTAAGACAGTAAAATAAATAATTAAGATTTTGCAAATGTTCTTTTTATGTTTATATCTGGATCTTTTTCCTCTAAACTGAAGTAATTCTTTTCTAAATTTTACATTGCATTCAACATAATCTGTTTCCATTTTCAGATGTTAAAAAACATAAAAATTCAGCTGGTCATGCTAAAAGTCAGTACCAATGTAGATAAATTACTGGGGGAAAAAACATTTTTGTTTAGGACAACTGGTTCAACATATAGACAAGATAAAATAAATGTTAATCACTGAACTTAAGCAATATGGCATAGTTATGTGACAGTAGGATTACAATAAAGTAAAAGGCTGCCATGCATCTAAAGGTAATAGTACAGAAATAAAGGAAAATGCAACAACAACAACAACAACAACAAAAAAGTGAGATTAGGCACATGATAAGAATAACAAGCAATATGAAAGAGGAAATATTAGAAATGTACTAGGAGACATAAGGTAGTATGGACTGGGATAAGATAGGGGAAACTATATTTGGTGGCATGAACCTTGTGAGAAGTGATGGAACCACACTACAACATACATACGACCAAGACAACCGGCAGAGGAAACAAAACAACATTTTAGGCAGCAAACTAACCAAAACTAACTCAAATGAGGAGCGGAGCCTTGTTTCTTAAAAGAGAAAGGGGTCACGAAGATAAACCAAAAAGAACTGGATGAAGGGTATCTTTATTACATGTAAGATGCCCATACTCCCAGGAAAAGGTTTGAAATTTTTAGATAGAATACAAAGTATAGATATGCTCAAAAAGAGCGCAAAAGCTAGTATTGATAGAAAAGAAGCTGTTTCTTTCTTAATAAATATTATTAGTTACAGGGAAAGATCCTTATAGTCACATAGCAGTATAAATGAATTGGGTATTCTTTAAGAAACAAGAATGTACTGTCAAGAAACAAGAATGTACTGTCAAGATATCAATATTTTAGGATAATGAGGCACATTGACAGAGGTTATACCAGCATTGAAAACTAACTAGTAACTAATAACTAACTGATGTCGGGTATTTCCAGAACTAACTCAATGCTTGAACGTAGAAATACCTTCTACATTGGAAAAAACACGAATTCAAAATGGAATTAACTTAATAGATGATACATAACATGAATTCGATGTGAATATCCTAGACTCTGAATTATGGATCGAAGTTCACTCCAACTAGGTGGATTTTGAAAGAAATACAATTAACAAATAACAGGAAATTTTAAGAACAATATAAGAAGCATAAAACTGAGATATCATACAAGTTAAAAACTCAGCATCCATGAATTTCATACCATTTGTAGCCACCAACTTCAAATGCATTGCTTCGCAGTTCTCTTTTATTGATCTGTGAAAAATGTTCAATTTTCCAAGTAAATTTTCCATATAAATCAGAAGGCTTTGGTCCTGCAATCAACATGAGTAGTTAAGTGAGCTTTAAACGTAATCAAGAAAAAATAGTGCCAATGCTAACAATCAACCTTTGTCAAAATTGGTCTCTCGGTAATTCAAATTATCTGTCAGGCTTCATTATTATAGAAGACTCCGGATATCAAACATATAATTCTAGCCAAATATGTAAACCGGCGATATCAAACAAAAAATCCATTCTTTTGCATAGCGTATTCTCACTGTCATTACTAGTTGTTCACTTTTTGGATTAAGGACTTCAAACTCACGACATCAGGGTGTCTTATATTCAGAGCTAACTGCTGAATGATAGATGATTTTAAAAATTCATATTTTGCAGCCGAAAAGCACAAAAATAATCCTACTCAATTAATGGATGTAAGTCTATAACATTAACTAGGTGGGGTAGGCTATCAAGGATGAAGAGTTCATTGCTGATTAAGGATGGAATGAGCGATCAGAATGTTCTCTAACCAGGACCACAACCATTGAAAACCCATGCATACAATTTCTCATTTTGCTTGGAGGAAACCATGCAAATATGCAAAATTAATTGGTTAGAGAAAGCATGAGTAGTGTGTTATTCAATAAGTTCTGAGTATGCATTTCGAGGTAGATGTAGATTACCCACAGAAAAGAATAAGACAACCAATTATGAGTTGCATAAACAAAACTTTACCCTTGAAATGGAAAAGGAAAAATCTGCTAAAATAATAGTTGTAGTCCACTACTTTCTTTACTCATCCATACATACCATGGCTTTCACCATCAAAGCAATACAAACAAACATTAAAATAGCATCAAGATTCGATATATGACCTTAACAACAACAACAACAACAAAGCCTTTTATCCCCAATGTTTGGGGTTGGCTACATGATCTTATTCTCTCATGCTGTTCTATTATAGCTCATCTCCTCTGTTAAATTAACAATTATCACATCCTTCTTAATTGCTCTCAACCAAGTTCTTCTAGGTCTACCTCTAGATCTCTTTGTCTCATTAAGTACAGTATTAGCACTTTTCCTAACTCGTGCACTAAAAAGTCTAATTTGTACATGACCAAACTACCTTAGTCTATTCCCTCTCATTTTATTCTCAATTGGAGCAGCATCTAATTTACTACGAGTGCACTCATTTATTATCTCTTGCAGTGTATACCAACAAGACCGTCGTAACATTCTCTGCGCTCCTTTTTTGCACGTGATGTTTCTTAATTGCCTAACATTTCAATCCATAAAGCATTGTTGATCTGTTCTACAGAATTTTCCCTTTAGTCTCATAGGTATTTTACGATCACATAAGACTCCTAAAGCACTTCTTCATTTTAACCATCTTGATTTGATTCGATGGACAACATCATCAATGTCGGCATATGACATGATCCACCTTAAAACCTTGTATAAATTACCAAAAAAGGCATCGATTTGAAACCATGGTGTCAACTTAAGAGGAAAATAAGAAAGATTAGCCAGTCTGTTGGATATGTAAGACTTAGTTGAAAATGTACTTCATTCAGGAAACATACACACCCATGGTTCAAACAGCACTTCTATAAGTTACTCAAAGGGTTTTTTCCCCTTTTATTTAGCAATATAATTATTTAAAAAGTACTTATTAAATGACTTTATAAAGAAGAAACTGGAAAGATGATAACATGACTAGATGGTACAAGCACGTTTATCTCCATAACAGAAGGGATGCATGCTAAAGCTTCAACGAGTAATGATAAAAACAAAGGCTACAGTTTAGAAATCCCCTTGGCACCATGGTTTGTAATGAATCCTAATCAGAAGAAGAATGAATGAGTGAGAATGTGAACTACAGCGTATATCCAGCTATGCATTGCTTTGATGGATCACACAATTTATTCCCATCTAGAAATCGTTGAACATATTATGTTAAATTTATTTTTTCTTTCTTTGTGACCAGACGATATGTGAGGTTTTGTATATGTTTGTACTTTTCCATTTTGCAGGATCTTGCCGTATTATCTTTTTAGTGAACCATGGGAGGCTTAGGCTTCATAGCTTTGCTCTCAAAAACTAAAGTTAAGGTAAAAATAAAACAATGGAGAAACCAAAAGGAGGAACTCTAAAAGCAAGGAAATTCCATCCGATACATAGTGCTTATCCTTGCTAGGAACTTAATAGAGCTAACTCATTAGGAATTTTTCTTTAACCAATTTAAAAATAGAAGAATATACCAGAGTCATCGTCGTCATCTGAGTCCCAATAAGGGGGTGAAGTAGATGGCATCCCATTCTCAACTTGTTCACAAGATCTCCATTCACCGAGAGATTCCACAGAGCGACAATGCCGCATGCTTGATGACCCATTCACAGATGAAGAACCGCTGGCGGGCACATAATCCTCGCTTACACTCCCAGCCCTCACCATATTAATCAATAACGATTATGGATTTAAATTATCGACAAAACCCCCTTCTGCACCTGCATTAATCAGGAGAATGATAATGAGATATGGGAACAGTTCATCATTGAAAAGATTCAGAGAATGAATGTAAACTATTCTTTCAACAAATCTAACAATTGTGAGAACCAACACAGTCCATACATTAAATTTGATACACAAAGTATAATAATCCACAAAGAAACAAGAAGGTGAAAAGAAACAAGCTCAAAACATTCCACAAAATAGTGAGAGGTGGCAACATGGCCACATCAAAAATATTCAGAGAAACCTATGTTTTCCCCCTAATGTAAACTAATTCTTTCAACCAATCAAACAATGTTAAGAGCTTAGCACATTCCATAAATTAAAGTTGAGGCACAAGATACAGAATTACACAACGAAGCGAGAAGGTAAGAAAAGAAATTAAACATTCGACAAAGTTAGTAAGAAATGGCAACATTCCCAAATTGAAAACATTCAGAGTTTCAGCCTTTTCATGTAAACTATTCTTTCAATCAATCTAACAATAATAAGAGCTTAACACATTCCATGAATGAAACAAAACAAAAAACTCAAATCCAGTACACCAAGAATCCAAAAGAAAAATCAATACTAATAGTAGTAGAAACTTTTCAGCTAAAAATATCTGAACTAAAGTTCAAATTTGATTACCCCCATTGACAATGAAATTTTAATCGAGACACCAAAAGAATATATAATTGAAAAAACCCAAAACACCCACAAAACCCCCTTTTCCCTCTTTTCAATCATAAACATCTCATAAACCCAAGATCAAAACCAAGAAGAAATCAAATTCAAATCAAAGAAAACCCATTTGAGAAAATCCGATTCCGGGAAAACCCACAAGAAGAAATCATCATATAACCCAATGAATTCGAGCAGTCAGCAATCTAGGACCAAAAGGGGTAAGGAAAAAGACCTCAAGGATCTAAATTTGAGAAGAACCCAGTACAAATTTCGGCGCAATTGGATGAGAGAGAGAGAGAGAGAGAACGGAGAGGGGAGAGGGACACGGACCCTCTTCTTCTTCTTCTCTTGTCTGCGAGAAGAACAAAAAACAACAGAAGGGCGAGCGAGGGGAGAGAGAGAGAGAGAGAGGGGTGAGGGGAATAGGCTGCGGTCTGAAGGGGACAAACTTGTCAAAATAAAATGGGGGAGCGCGTGTAGATTTGGCAACAGTAGAAACGTTACCATTTTTATTGCATGAGGGAGATATTGTATACAACGTTTCCTTTTTTTTTTTTTTTTCATCCTCTGATAATAACGTGTTAATTAGGTAAATTGCGGATAACCCCTCCATCAATGCCCTTAGTTGACTATAACTCCTTCGTCGACTCCTTTATTAGTTAGACTTACATCCCTAGATTGTTACATAAATTCCATGGAACACCCTTCTATTAAATAAGTAAGTTGAGAGGGGTTATTTGCTACTGAAGAAGGTACAATATATAGACGTGAGGAATTACTTGCAATTTGTTAGGTAAACTTAACGAAACTGCTTTCTAAATTTCTGGGGTTTGGCAGAAAACACCATTAATAAATTAAAAAAATCAATTCATGAACTTTTAAACTTTTAAAATTATACAAAGCAAGTATGAGCTATTGAGAATTGCCATAAACAACACTGGCTTCAAGGATAATAGGTGTCCATGAACATGAACATAGCAGAAAAAAAGAGAGCAATATAGCGTGTGCGTCGCGCGCGTGCGTGTATGTGTGTATATATATAGAGAGAAAAAAAAAACTTATGTCAACTTAAGTGGATCATCCACCAAAGTTTCTATCCATTGATGATACCTAAAGATTTGTGCATTATATGAAGAGACTTTTCATCAATGGATAGAAACTTTGGTGGATGGTCCACTTAAGTTGACATAAGTTTCTCTCTCTCTCTCTCTCTCTCTCTCTCCTCTCTCTTATATTATAATATATATTATATATATATAGTATATATATATATATATATATATATATATATATATATATATATATATATATATATTATTATATAAAAAGGGAATTGGATGTTAAACTTTTATTTTTTTTTATTTTTTTTTTCCCTCTTGTTATGGTGGTTTCAATCGCCAAAGTGCAGCCCTTTGCCAGCGACGGACAGGTGTACTTTTGTATGCAATGCCCTAATCAAATTGGCGGCCAATACCAGTAAGGATCCCGACTTAGCCGACTCCCCGAGTCGACATCTTCTTGTGTCGACTCGAAGGGCGGTACTTGTCGATCCTTTTGTCGAAGACGACTCGCTACGAGTCCATTCGATCAATTATTCGACCCCTCTTGGTAGGTCGACTCGAAAGGCGTTACTTCTCGGCTAAGTTAGAGGATAACTTCGACCTCGAACCTCTCCCACTGTCAATGTGTCTGCATCGCATTTAATGTTGGGTATGTGCCATCATGCCCCTAGCCCCGATAGTCTTCATTACTCATCGGGCCACGTAGGCACCGCTATGCCTCCAATCGCTTCTCATTTTAATGCTAAGGTGATCACCTTCAGTCGCCAGCCGACACCAGTAAAGCAAGTGCTGACGCAGCCACTAGCTCATGCTTCTTCACCGTCATCCTGTGCTCAACCACAATAATGGTTCTACCCTTATACCCCTGGTATAAATAGAGGTATTGTTCTAGATATCAAAGTAAGTGATTCTGAGCAATTCCACTACACTACAGAACTCACGCAGTTCTTTATTTTCCCACTCAAGTTCACCAGTTGACTTGATCGTCAAAGGAATCACAGGGAACCAATCCCGTCTTCTCACGAGTTTCTACTTATGCAGGCTCAAGCTACTAAGCTCAGAATAGGATATTCGGGAAAGAGAGTGGCCCCTCATCAATCTCACTCTATCTAACCGATATAATTGACTGTGTGATCCCTTAACATCAACAGTTTGGCTCCCACCATGGGGCTACTTTCTTTTTCGAGAAAACATGTCTGGTTCTGAGAATATGGCTGAGCAGTCTCACCCTGAAGAACCGCATCAAAGCTATGTTACTCAGGCCCAGCTTAAAGAAACAGCTCAGTAGATTTCTTAATCTCTTTAGCAGTAACTCGCTGCTTTCACTAGCGAGCTTCTTAGCCGGCTTCCATAGCAGTAGCAAACTACTTCATCTCTCCCCCCACCTTCTGGAGACCAACGTCGAAGACTCATCCTTTCAGAGCACAGCAAGTAGTCCCACCTCAGACTCCTCATGTTGCTGCCAAGCAGTTGAGAGATCACGTCGAGCACGCGACCCTGCCACCACATCGGTCAACCCATGTCAAGGAACCCTGCCAACGTGTCCTCCCTCATTCTGAAGCCACCAGCGAGAGTCCCGGTCGTGGTCACCCTAAGGATCGTGCTAGGGGAGCGGTCTCTAACACTCTCCCGCACTATCGTGCCACTCCAATCCCCTCTGCTACCATAGTGGCCTCTGGATATGACCGGGTGTACAGACTGATCACAGATGTCATCGGGGGTAATACCCCCCTCTCCGATGACCTTATGAATGCCCCGTGTAAGAAGTTCAAGATGTCTCATACGGATAAGTACAAAGGCAAAGGAGACCCCTTCGAGCATGTCCAAAATTATTATCATGTGATGAGCATGCTTCAAGCATCAGAAGCGGTTGTTTGCTGATGCTTCCCTATCACTCTGTCGGGGAGTGCCAAGCTCTGGTGGAATGCCCTTGAGAGGAAGTCCATCAGCAGCTTCTAACAACTCAGCCAGAAGTTCATCCACCACTTCTTGGCTGACACCAAGCAGAAGCTCCCCCCTCATGTACTAATCCAGATGAGATAGGATCCTAGAGAAAGCCTTCGGACCTAAGTCAAGAGGTTCTAGGCCAAGAGGTTGAAGGTCAATGACCCAGGGAGCGCAGTCGCTATGTCTGCTCTCGTGGCCGGCTTACAGAGCAATGAATTGGCCGACTCACTTGCCAAGAAGACAGTAGCTAATTATGAATAGCTGATGACCAAAGCTCATGGGTACATGGACATGGAGGATGCACGAGCTTACAAGGCAGTAGCCAGGTCCACAGAGACCTTCACAGCCATGACTTTAGCAGTTGTTGTTGCTTCAACAGCAATATTAGCACCACCCGCACCTGCAGCAGCACCGATGGTGGCGCCAACACCCAAGTGGACTAGAGACCCCCCGAGAGTCGACTCCCGCTCTAACCGGTCCAATAGGAGGGATCGATAGAGGAACCTAGCGCCAAAGTCTTCTCTTACTATCTTCAACACCTCCCTCGATAGAGCTCTCATTATAGTCCAAAAGGAAGGGCACCTCAAGGAGTCTGCTCCTCAGATGAAGTCAAACTCATGCAAATAAGATACTCTGCAGTATTGCTGCTATCATAAGGATCACGACCACCTCACCAATAATTATTGTACCTTAAAGAGGGATATTGAGGATCTGATCGAGAGAGGGTACTTGAAGAACCTCGTCTCTTAGAGGGACCGTAAGGAAGTTCTCCTAGCCAAAGAAAATAGGAGATCCCGCTCGCGGTCGCCTCATCCTCGACAGCCCCAGGATAGCCGACCCCCAGAGCTCAGTCATAAGGAGGTCATCAATATAATCAGTAGTATTCCCACTGTCGGATGGTCATCCAACAATGCCCGAAAGAGATATACTAAGAGGACGTTGCGGGTCAACCAGAGCAACAAGAGGTCGAGAGCGGAGGAGCCCATCTCTTTTTGGGACGCCGACCTGCAAGGCATCAAGATGCCTCATGATGACCCTATCGTGATCACAGTCAGGATTAGCAGCTTCCAAGTGAAGAGGATCATGGTCGACACAAGAAGCTCATTGGACATCATGTATGTCGACGCCTTCAACCAGATGGGCATCGACAAGTTTCGGCTGCTCTCCTGTAGAGGACCCCTCATTGGATTCACTGGACACTCTCTCTTGCCGGAAGGAATGATTACTCTCTTCCTAATAATCGGAGAGTATCCTAGGCAATCCACCGTCCAAGTCCAATTTTTGGTGATTGGTCTCAAGTCGGCTCATAAATGTCATCTTAGGCCGAACCACCTCCACCTCTTGCGGGTCATCCCTTCAACTTACCACCATATGGTCAAGTTCCTAACTCCTAATGGAGTCGAAGTCGCCAGTGCAATCAGTGAGAAGCTAGGTCATGCTACCTGCTCTTGACCAAGGGTAAGGGCGTACAAGATACCTTGCCTATTAAGAAAACTTGCCTCTAGTTAGAGAAAGTGGCGGAGCGGCAGAGGACGACACCGACGGAAGAGCTCCAGGAGATACCCATCGATCGTGAAGGACAAAAGATGGTCAAAATTGGGTCCAATCTAGTCGATCCCTTGCGAGGAGCATTGAAAGAGCTCTTACAAGCAAACACTAATGTGTTCGCTTGGGGGCCCAAAGATATGCCGGTGATTGTTTGCGTTGGAAATCATTTTTATCGTGGAATCTATTTATAACGTTTATCGTTTACAGATTCAAAAGAGTTAGCATTTCTATAAGACTTCTCTACACAAATAAAACAAACAGAGACTTCCTAAAAACACATGCAGAGAACGTTTATTGATCGCTACTTCTGTGGGATCTTTGCCTATGCCGGGGACACGTTAGCCCGTGGACCACCGAATCATAGATCTAGATTGATCGTGAAGAAGGCTCGGTGTTCTTGTTTCATTTTAAACACAAGAACAGAAGTAAATATCTCAGTAATATGAGATAAATACTCTTCTCGATATTAAAACGATGTTTGATCCCAAGGAAAGGGTGAAAAGGCTGTAGATCTCTCGAAAGCTTCCTCTTTATGCTGAAGTTCGCCAAAATCTCGCCTCTCTCCCTCTAAAATTCATGGGTTCTGCTCTTAAACTATTAGCGCTTCGCCTCCAAGTCCAAAATTTCATATTACTCACCCCGCCCCCCAGTGTAGGGACACTAGGAAGTATTTATAGGCCTTAGATGCCGTGTTTGTGGATAAGATCTCGTGATTTGAGTATATCTTCAGTTAGTAACAACTTTATCACGTTTAATGATACTCCCAAAGCAGTTAGGAAGCTAGTGGAACATAATCATAAAAAAACACGTTTTGGGAAAATCTAACTATGCGAGATAGGTATGTGTGTCTCGACACCGAGACAAACTTGTCTGTCTCGGCCCCGAGACACATTTATATGTCTCGGGTTCGAGAC